ATTTATAGACATTTGACATTTTGATTTTTGATGATTCTTATTTTATGATTACAGACGAAATGACTAATTTTTTAATTTTTATATCAATTTTAAATAAAAATAGCTGAGTTTCATAAATTTTATATAATTTTAAAACAAAACAAAAGAATTTCCTAAAAAAAGTTAAAGAAAGTTATTTAAAACAACAGATTCATATTTATTTGAAGACAACTAAAAAAAATAATAGAAATTAAAAATAATATAATTCCTTTTGAAATCTAATTTCATCATGATTAACTTATTATTTGTCTTTTATTTATTGAAAATATTAAAATACAATAAAGAGTATAAAGTCTAATATTGATCTTTGTTTTTAAAATAATTATCAAGTCATCTAAGTTTTTCAAGAATAATTTCGAAAGATATAATTTCCAAAAATCCATTCTAAATAATAACTTTATTAAGGTAATCTTAATTTTTTATGTAAAAAAACTACAAATATTTATAGTTTGGAAATTTAACTTTCTTTGACTTCTGCTTGTACAAAATTAAAACATTTTTGAGGGAAATAGAAAAAAAAAGTTCTTCTTATAAAGGAAAGAACTCAATTCTATTCTATTTTCACTAATATCTAATATGTTTGATCGATTTTTCAATTATAAATTTCTCTTTTTAGGTCTTTAAATGTTTAGAAAAATGAAAACTTGTTTAAAAGTCTCTATATTTGATCATATTGGAATTTTATAATATTGCAATGTAAATTTATTCAATAGAATGAAAATATAGAAATTTTTTTGATACTCAAGTCAGATAATAATAACAATGGTTAGCCTTTATACTATTGATAATTATTCCCTTCGGTTTTAACATTCATAACAACTTATTTAATTTCTTTGCAATTATAAGTATAAATATTTGAAAATCTTTTAAATATCATTGTTAACAGAGGCTAAAAGATTTAAATTTAGAGTAGCAAATATCATCAACCATAATATTTAAAATTTTTATTTTTTTAAATTATTAATTGATATTAGCCAATATGATGACAGATAATTAGGCTTATCTAATTTAATTTTATCAATTTCTATAATATTATAAATAATAATAAAATATGTAAACCAATCATCATGATTTTTTGTAAATCTAGTAAAGGATACCCATAATTAACAAATCTATTCAATATTTAATTTCTTTATTATTTCAATTACAATAAATTGATTTCTTACTTTTAAAAATAAGTAATACTATTTTAAAATTTCATATTTGAAATATGTTCTAAATGTTGTCTTTTAATTTAAAATGAATAAAATTGCATTTAAATTATTTATTAAAATAATTCTAATAATTGGGTAAAACATCTAAAATGATTACTCCTTTTGAATAAATTCCAGTTTGTTAATGTAGTTATTATTTATTAATATTATTTAGGATTAAAAAAAGTGACTTCAACTAAAAAATAAGTGAAAAAAAAGCTATAAAAGAATGAAAATAATAAAAAATAACTTATAAATAACATGTTTACAATTACTAGTAACATTAATAAAACCAATTAGAATATCAGATGGAAATATTCATGAACAATTATCTTGCCAAATTTTTTCAAATTAAATCTATACATGAAATTAGTGTTATCAAATTTAGCAACCAATCCAAAAATAATCATCTATTCTTTGTTATAATTAGAGAATATTAACATCCCTATTTAGAATTTTTACATTTNCTAAATAATAACTTTATTAAGGTAATCTTAATTTTTTATGTAAAAAAACTACAAATATTTATAGTTTGGAAATTTAACTTTCTTTGACTTCTGCTTGTACAAAATTAAAACATTTTTGAGGGAAATAGAAAAAAAAAGTTCTTCTTATAAAGGAAAGAACTCAATTCTATTCTATTTTCACTAATATCTAATATGTTTGATCGATTTTTCAATTATAAATTTCTCTTTTTAGGTCTTTAAATGTTTAGAAAAATGAAAACTTGTTTAAAAGTCTCTATATTTGATCATATTGGAATTTTATAATATTGCAATGTAAATTTATTCAATAGAATGAAAATATAGAAATTTTTTTGATACTCAAGTCAGATAATAATAACAATGGTTAGCCTTTATACTATTGATAATTATTCCCTTCGGTTTTAACATTCATAACAACTTATTTAATTTCTTTGCAATTATAAGTATAAATATTTGAAAATCTTTTAAATATCATTGTTAACAGAGGCTAAAAGATTTAAATTTAGAGTAGCAAATATCATCAACCATAATATTTAAAATTTTTATTTTTTTAAATTATTAATTGATATTAGCCAATATGATGACAGATAATTAGGCTTATCTAATTTAATTTTATCAATTTCTATAATATTATAAATAATAATAAAATATGTAAACCAATCATCATGATTTTTTGTAAATCTAGTAAAGGATACCCATAATTAACAAATCTATTCAATATTTAATTTCTTTATTATTTCAATTACAATAAATTGATTTCTTACTTTTAAAAATAAGTAATACTATTTTAAAATTTCATATTTGAAATATGTTCTAAATGTTGTCTTTTAATTTAAAATGAATAAAATTGCATTTAAATTATTTATTAAAATAATTCTAATAATTGGGTAAAACATCTAAAATGATTACTCCTTTTGAATAAATTCCAGTTTGTTAATGTAGTTATTATTTATTAATATTATTTAGGATTAAAAAAAGTGACTTCAACTAAAAAATAAGTGAAAAAAAAGCTATAAAAGAATGAAAATAATAAAAAATAACTTATAAATAACATGTTTACAATTACTAGTAACATTAATAAAACCAATTAGAATATCAGATGGAAATATTCATGAACAATTATCTTGCCAAATTTTTTCAAATTAAATCTATACATGAAATTAGTGTTATCAAATTTAGCAACCAATCCAAAAATAATCATCTATTCTTTGTTATAATTAGAGAATATTAACATCCCTATTTAGAATTTTTACATTTTGGAATGAGAATATTCTTAGTTAGTTCTACTAAAAGTATGAAAGAAAATACAAAAAACTCTGCACAACCATCCAATATTTGTAGTGAACATAAAATTGCTAGTTTTCCAGATATTTATAAGATAAAAAAAATAATTATCTTAAAAACGAACTTTTAGACCTATATAATTAGTATTTTGATATCAAATTCATTTTATATTAAAACAAAACAATAATGAAGGATGTTATAGAATCTAGAAGTATAAAATCTGAAGAAAAGAATTAATAGAGGGATAGATGGACTTATGAGGAAGACAAATTACTTTTTCAAGCAGTTAAGAAATATGGAACAAGCTGGTTTTAAGTTGCATAATTATTTCAGAATAGAAATCCAAATTCTTGCATTTAAAGATGGAAAAGATTGAAAGGAAGAAACGTAATATATTCATTCTAAATTATTAGAAAAAAAACAAATAAAAATGGAGTAAACAAGAAGATAATTTACTTAAATCATTAGTCGCAGTTTATGGTAATTAATGGAATTAGATTTCCAAAAATTTTAAAGGAAAAACAAATAAATAATGTATGGAGAGATACAACAATTGCCTTAACCCATTGGTTAATAAGAAACCTTTTACAGCAGAAGAAGATGAAATTATATATTAAAATTACATATCTTTAGGTTCAAAATGGTCTAAGATAGCTATGAAACTAAATGGAAGAACGGTAAACTGTTTATTATATTAGTTCAGCAAAACTAGGTCAAAAATCGATTCTATTCTTGCATTCTCTCTTCTCATTTATATTTATAAAATCCATATTATACAAAACTAACACAATAACAAGTGAAAGAAACTCTTTAAAAAGTCAGGTAGGAGCATATAGAAAAATTGTTATTAGAAAATGATAATTTACATTTTAAAGACTTCGAATAAAGTCAATTAAATGAATTTGCTTCTGAAAGCTAATCATACTAAGTTGAATACGAAGATGAATATTCTAATTTTCATACCCTTGCTTGATAAAGATAAGAATTTTTTATATATAATTTCTTTTTATTTAAATATATTTTTTGAACTATTATAGTATCTAATATTAATAATAATGTTAAGCTAAATACTTTATTTTATATTAGAGTGTAGTTCAATAAATCTTAATATTCATTGAACTAATAGAGCATAATTAAAAATTACTTTTATACAAAACAGATGCCTTCTTTAATGTTTTTTTTTTCATTTTAAAAATTCATTTTGAATAAAGTCATTATTTTACAATTTTGATATTATTAATATTTGGCAAAGTTCTATTGTTATTCATTTTGATTCTTAAAATATTTAATTATTATTGATTAAGGCTTCAACTTAATGATTATTTTAGAATTGAAAAATGCTTATTGTAATTAGATATAATTTTAATAAATTTTTGTATGAATTATATTATATTATGTGTTTAAAATTGGCTAAATTCCCCTAGTCTTATTCTCTTGCTTTTCATAAAGATATCATGTATAAAGTTTGTCTTGAATTTAGATTTCTTTAAATTTCAAATCAAGTTAATCAATAAAATATACAAATATTATTTAATAAAAATTTTATATTTTATTTCTAGAATTAGAAACAGAAAGAAATAAATATATCACAGACAAAAATAAATTGAATTATATATTATTTTAATTGAATGAGTTCATTAATAAGTATAATTTTTCCTTAATCAATCATGAATATTGATAAATTACAAACTTAATTAAACCTATTATAATCTCATAATGTTATGTAAATGATTAAACATAAACATTAAGATATTCAAATAAGTAATTGTATATAAAAATACATCATTATTTAATTATTTATTCTTTAAATCATAGAAGACTACTAGTAACAGTAATTATAATTTATTACTAATATCTATCCAATAGAATGCATAAATAGGTTGGTTTATTCTAAATTTATTATCTTTATAATAATATCATCTAAAATGATATTTTTTTTTAAAAAAGTAATTAAATAAAAAGAAATTATTTTAAGCCCATTTTAATTATTTTATATTATAAGATTAAGAATTCATAATATTAAGTCAAATTCTTATTAATTTTGAGAATTAACTCAAATCCTGAATTGCTCACAATTCTGAAAAATAATAAAAATTCGCATTTTTAGTTTCATTCTAGAAAGGATAAGTATTATAAATCTTTAAGATAAATAAGGTATAATATAATTAAAAAATTATAATTAAAATGTGCTAAGCTAAGCAGTTATAAATTGATAAACATAAACACTTTTTTTAATGAAAATGAAATTATATGGATTTATTCTAACATAAAAAATTATTTGGATAGAATTACTTTCAGAATATTTATACTTTCGAATTTTAGTATCGATTTAATGAATTTCTCTTATTTTAGTTTTTTTAGAATGAATAAATGTAAAGATAAATTGTCATGTATATTATATAATATTTATTCCATATATCTAAAAGTGTATAAAATCAAGAATTAGCTTAAAATTGTAAAGTAGTAGAAAGCATAAAATTTTAAATTGAATAGAAGTTAATACTACAACAAAGTGAATTTGCTTATCTCATGAAATATTTATATAATATTTGATCATTTAAAAAAGCTTATATTAGTATATAAAATAACAAAATGAGTGGTTAAGCATGTGATCCTGATAAGGGATGTTGGCTTCTTAGTAATTGTGAATAGAATGATATCAATTATACTTGTGTACATGATCCAATATTAGAATTGACACTCTATACAGGTTTTGTTTATTCATTAATACCAATATTTTTGGGGATTGGTATTTTAGGTGGCTTAGGAACAGGTATGATTAAAAGGCCTATTTTAAATCTTATGTTAAATTATCCAGCTAGTATTGCTACTTAAGTTGGTGACTGTTTTTTATTTGTAACAACAACATTGAATTCTTTGTTATTAATTTTTGAAAAGTATCTTTAATTATGATATGAAGACATCCAGATCACCCAGAATTACCACTAATTAACTTCGATATAAGTATAATCTTTAATTAAACTATTCCTTTGGCTTGGAGTGTTGGGGCTTTCTTATAATAAAGAATACCCTAATTTGCTATATATCTCTTTTAATTATGTTTTATGCTTGGAGCAATTCCATTTTTATGGAAATTTAGTAATCATAATAAATATGTTAGCTCATAGTTAAAAGTAATTAGAAATTGATAAGAGAGATAAAAAAGTGTTAATTATTGAGAAAATAAAAACTAAAGAAGATATGGCAAATGAGACAAATCTTGATGAAAAAGAATTAAAACAATATGAAAAATTCTATATTAATGATCATAAGAAAATCTAGATAAAAAATCTTTGTTTCATTTTTGGTTCTTTTATAGTTAATCAAACAATTGTCCTTATGAGATCAAATAAATTTAATAATTCTATAATAGGAATAGATGCTTGCACTCTTGAGAATAATTTAGTTTTAATATTAATTTTGTGTGCTAATTTTATTTATACAACATTAGTATATTGGAATAAAAGAAATGAAGAATTTTATAAAGACTTAGTATAATATAGACCAGATTTTAGGTACTTTACACCAAAAAAAACATTTTGGTTTTATTATCTAGGAGGTTGTTTAGCTGGATTTAGCACAGGGTTTATAGGAATGGGTGGAGGACTTATTATGGTTTCTATCCTACTTCATAAATAAATTATTGCTAGAGAAGCAGCTGCTACTGCTGCCTTTGGTACTTTCATGATTGCATTAAATAGTTTAATCTAATTATTTTTATAAAAAACAATATCTACTGGTTAGATGTTCACCTTTTTTGGTTTAGGAGTACATTTTTTATATTATTATTAGATAATTGGATTAATAGTTATAACAAAACCTGCATATATTTTAATGAACAAATTTAAAGTTGGATATGTTGTGTTGATTGTTGATATCATATCAGTTACTAACAATGTAATTGCAATTATAGCCTTAATGATAATAAATTCAACACTTTATGGATTTGAAATTATGTTAGATTATCATCAACATTGCTGAAAACTTGATTATTTTGCTACTTTTTCAAAAACAATATATAATTATTAAAATAATAATGAATTTTATTAAAATGCTAAGAGAATATTTAATCAATTTAATTATGATTTAAAATATAAACATTTATTATGAAAAACTAAATAACTGAGAGAACTTCTATTAATGTGAGATGTGATAAATGTAATCGAAAAAATGATCTCATTTCTGATTGCTGTGTTGTAACTTCATTAACATTAATTAATATATATTGTCATGCATGTGTTTAAGTTTTATAAAAATAGTTAAAATTACAAAAATTACATATTGAATAGGTAAATGACATTTTGTTAGAGTGTCAAAAAGTTTAAGCATTTATTACATAATATAATTTAGTTGAATTAGTATCAAATTCAATTTTTGTAAAAACATTAGAAATTGTAGATCCTCTTAAAGAGTTACTATAAAATTCAAAAGAATTTTAATATACAATAAATTTAAATGAAGCAGATTTTAAAATTTATTGTCAAAAGAGAATACTTTATAAATAAATATTAGAAGATGAAGTACTTAAAAAAAAGATTGAAAATGCTTCCTAAAATTTTAAAAACATTATTAAATAATACTTTTATGATGAAGAAGGAATCCCCTTTTTCTCTATTTAAATTCCAAAGAGCAAATATATTATTTTATATTCTTAAGTTTTATCAAATTATTTCTTAATTTTAAAATATTACACATAATCAGAATATCTATCTCAATTGAATAATAAAGAATTAGAGAAGAAAATAATGAAAGAAGGATATAATCCATGTATTTTTATTTAAATTTATGACTTAAATAACAAAAATAATATATATGAAGATGTATTGATTTAAAATTAAAAACTAGAATATTTGAGTGAAGAATTAATTAAATCTTATTTATTAGAATAAAGAAATATTATTTATATCTGTGTAGATAATGATTATTATTAAATTAATATAAATTCTAAATAACATCCATAATAGATTAATGATGTAAATTTTTAAGTTATTGGTGAGAATCTTATCTTCTTAGGATAAGATACTTTATTAAAATTTGATCCTATTGATTATGAAATTATATAACAAAAAAGTATTTTTGAAAGAAATTGGTCTAATAATGAATTTTTGATATCTTATGATAAAAGGATTAATTCATTTCTTATGTATAACTGCCCTAGTCATAATTAAAATGAAATTATTGAAATTATACAACTAAATACATTACGATTTACTAAAAGAATAATTTTTGCTAATTATGAAAGATATGATTACAATAGCTTTTATTATCAAAAATCATTTAATTACATATTTAATATTAGTACTATTGTACTTATTCGAGAATCCCATGAAGGAACAGCATTTTTAATACTTTTAAATTTGTAAACTAATAAAATCATTAGAAAAATTCCATTATCTTTTAAATAACCACTTTAAAATTTATATATTTTGAAAAATTAAACAATGGTTTGTTTAAAATATCAATTTGATTAAGTGGATATGTATTCAATTTCAACAGGGAAATAAATTGTTTAATTTGAACAATTATAGTTATATCCAATAATGTAAAATGAATAACTTGCAATATGTATAAAATAAGATGATATTAAATTATTTAAATTAGTCTAATGAAATATGAGTATTATATAAATGAATAATTATAATATTTTTCAATATATTATTGATTTTTTTTAATATTTATTATAATTTAAATGATAAATTGATATATTGTAATTACTTATATTAAAGTATAAAGTAATTTAATCTTATATTTACAATTTGAGCATATTATTGAGATTATAAATATATAATGGTATTTAAAATTTTTAAAGAATATGATAGTTATAAAAAGTAACATCATAGAAGGGTAATTCAAGATATGTAATATTATAAAGAGTTTTAAGAAAATATAGGTTAATAATACAAATAGATATTAATCATTATATTAGAATTGGAGTATTACATCTATGGAATACAAGTCTTTGGAGTGGATTAT